AGAAGAAAGAAGAAAGAAGAAGAAGAGGAAGCCGCCAGATTCCACACTGGGCACATGCCCATAATTCTGTGGGTGGGGGGCTGGAGGACAAGGATTGCAGCATGACCAGACTCTGTGCAGGGTACTCATCTCTCTCTCTCCCCTCATGTGTATATACATCTGGTTCATCATGAATAAAGAAAAAAAAGAGCCTAAAACATTTAGAGTGAAGTGGAGTAAAAATTTTGAAAGAAATATAAGTAGGTAACCAGGCCTATCTCTATACAGCCTCGGAATTATTGTGAACAACATGTAAGTGGTGAGTTCACATTAAATACAACACACATTAAAATCCTTCAGAAAGTATCAGCAAGGGACTCATCAAGGAGACAGAGAGGGCAGCAGTTAGCACCAAATCTGAGACAATTTGAACAAATAATGACAGCTAAAGTATCTCCCCACAAAATACATATACATTACAAAGGGAAAAAAAGACAGTTATGGTCTAAGAAGCCTGGCAGAACACCCTCATCAAGTGATCAATGTGAACACCATCAGAAATGGAGCAAATCCAAAAACTGTGTGCCACCCGACGGCATGCAAAGAATACAGTGACCCTTTGTGATAATTCTGCCAGAGATGCTTGAGTCTTGCCACGAGGAAGTACGAGACAAACACACGTTGAAGGCACTCCACACAAATTAACTTGGCCTATAACTTGCAAAAGTATTCAAAGTCAAGCTGAGAAACTGTTCCAGATTTTCAGGAGACTAAAGGGACGCAGCAATGGCTACTTTCAATGGCTAATCATAAACTGGATCCTTCAGCTATGAAAGACATTATTAGAGCAAAAGGAGAAACACTGAGTAGAGCATCGTACTAATGTTAACTTCCTGATTTTCTTTTCTTTTTGTTTTAAGAGAGATTTTTGCTACAGGGCATGTGCACTTGGCAGACTGAGAGAGGCAGTAAGTGAGAGTGAGAAATCAGCCTCTGGGGGGATGGCCATGCCACAATCCCTTCTCCTCCATTCCCTTCTTGGGATCTTTGGCACGATGTATATGCATCTGGCATGAGTTTCAAGCCTATGGGTTCGTGACTCCAATCGCAGTCAGCCAGGTGGGACTCCAGTGTCTTAACCACACTACCCACTGCCCCCGAACTTCCTGATTTTGATGGTTGGCTGTGTAGGAGGATATCTGATGCGTAGGTAAAACACATGAAAGCATTAGGAAGTGATGTGGGTCTCAGGTTAGTCATTTATTATCAGATGGTGCAGGGGAAAAAAGTTCTTCATAACTCTTCTCTATGGTCAAGATTGTTCAAAATAAAAATTTTATTTGAAAAAAGTAATTTATTAAAGAAGTTAAAAAAGTTTTTCTCTTAAAAAAAGTAAATAGATCATTTTCATATGGGCTGGCCAGATGAATTTTCAGTGCCAATTTGGTCTCATAGTTGGAAAATAAATGCTTACATGAGACCACATGTGTATCAAGCTGAGTGGACATCTTAGACGTGTGGGCTTCTCTGCTGGCTAGATGTACAGAACTCCCCCACGGGGGTAGCTGGAGATGTCATCGGCACAGGGACTGCTGTAGAGCTTCATACATCACTTGATCCTGAGAAGAGGGAAGAAAACAGGTTATAGTTAGGCCAGCAAGTGGCATAGTGGTTAAGGGCGCTGGATTCCCACATGGCCAACCATGGTTTGAGTCCTGGATCTGGTGGCTTGCTTTCTCCCTTTTCCTTTCTCTGTCTCTCTCTGGTCAAATTAATAATTAGTAATCATAATCATAAATGGAATTGAATAAATAATGCTTTTTTAAAAAAGAAAGAAAACAGATTATAGCCTAATCACAGTGTGCTATAGGATGAATGGGGTCTCACTTAAACTCATAAGCTGAAGTCTTTTTTTTTTGAGATGTTTTTGCTATAGGGCGCATGCGCTCGCCAGATAGACAGAGACAGATAGAGAGACAGAAAGTGAGAAATCACCCCCCCAGGGGGATGGCCACACCACAATCCCTTCTCCTCCATTCTCCTCTCGGGATCTTGGGCACGCACGCACACGCGCCTGGTGTGAGTTTTAAGCCACCGGGTCTGGGACGCGAACCGTGGTCAACTACATGGGAATCCAGCGACATAGCCATTACGCTAGCTGCTGGTCCCATAAACTGAAGTCTTAAGACCCTGACCTCAGAATGCTACTGTATTTAGAGAAAGGGAGATAAACAACTCAAGTTTTTTTTTTTTTTTTTAAAGAGTAAAAGATGACAACATAAAAGAAGAAAGTTAAATGACCAAAGACCACGAAAATATGGAAAACGATTATATCACAGAAATGCAAATTTAAATTACAATGGGATACTATTTTACATTTAGTAGAATGGCTAAAACCAAAGACTGATGATAATCAAGTTTTTTTTTTTTTTTTGGAGAGGTTTTCTGCTATAGGGCGCATGCACTCGCCAGACAGACAGAGACAGACAGAGAGACAGAAAGCGAAAAATCACCCCCCAGGGGGGATGACCATGCCGCAATCCCTTCTCCTCCATTATCCTCTCAGGATCTTGGGCACACACGCACACGTGCCCGGTGTAAGTTTAAGCCACTGGGTCCAGGACTCGAACTGCAGTCGACTACATGGGAGTCCAGGGACACAGCCATTAAGCGAACTGCTGGTCCCTACAAGTTTTTTTTTTTGAAGAGGTTTTTGCTATAGGGCGCATGCGCTCACCAGACAGAGAGAGACAGAGAGATAGAAAAGGAGAAATCATCCCCCAGGGGGATGGCCATGCCACAATCCCTTCTCCTCTGTTTTCCTCCTGGGATCTTGGGCACGCACGCACACGGGCCCGGAGTAAGTTTTAAGCCACTGGGTCCGGGATGCCAACCGCGGTCGACCACGTGGGAGTCCAGCAACATAGCCATTACACTAACTGCTGGTCCCGATAATCAAGTATTGATGAAAAAGTAAAACAACTAGAACTCTAAAAATGAAAATAAAATACAAAATGCTATAGCCACTTTGGAAAACACGGTGTCTATTTCTTATAAAGTTGAATATACAACTACCATATGATCTGGCAATTCCTTTTCCAGTTATTTGCTTGGAAGAAATAAAACACACGTTCACACCAATATGTGTTTATACATGTAGGTGTGTGTACATAAAATGCCCAGAGCAGCTTTTTTCATAGAGGCGCACACGTGCACACGATCACCAAGAGAAAGGGGAAGCAAACTAAAGCATGCTCACGTGACGGCATACTACTTAGCAAGAGGGACCAAACCACTAAAAATAGAACATGGGTGAATCTCAAAACACTGTGAGCAGGCCACCAGGTGGTTAGAGTGCTGGACTCCCACATGGCTGATGCCAGGTGTGTATGTGCATGTGCCCAACATCCTAAAAGAAGGAATTGTGGTGTGGCCATCCCTCCCAGTAGGGTGATTTCCCATTTTCCTTCTCACTGTTTCCTTCTGTCTTTCTCTGTCTTTATCTGGTGAGCTCACACACCCTATGGCAAAAAACTAAAACAAACAAACAAAAAATGATCAGACTCCGCGGCACAGTCCAAATCATGCTAGACAGCAGTGTTGGAAGCCACATGGTTGACTGCTTCCCTGGTCCAATCAACCTGGAGCAAGCTGAGCAAGCAGGAGGTCTGGAGGAAGGGGATCGCTGGGCAACCAGACCCTGTGGGCAGTTCTCAGCCCTCAAGCACACATGAGATCTCTATCGCAAATTAAAACAACAAAACATTATGCTGAGCGAATAACCAAAATACAAATGAGTATATGCTTTATAATTTCATTTACATAAAGTTCTGGAACCGGCAAAATTAGAGTATGGTGACAGAAATCATTATAAGTGGTTACCTGAAATGAGTGTTGGGAAAGGATGACTAGAAATTAATGCAGGGAACTTTCTGAAGTGATGAAAATGTTCTGTATCTTTACTGTGATGCTGGTCACGTTTGTCAAGACTCATGTACACTTTAGCTTGTGCATTAAATTATAAATTGCAATTTAAAAAAGGTTAGAGGATTGGCACCAGCAGATGGCGTAATGGCTATGTTGCTGGACTCCCATGTAGTTAACTGCAATTCGAGTCCTGAACCTGATAGCTTAAACTCACGCTGGGTGCGTGTGCGTGCGTGCCCAAGATCCCGAGAGGAGAATGGAGGAGAAGGGATTGCGGTGTGGCCATTCCCCTCTGGGGAGTGATTTCTCGCTTTCTGTCTCTATGTCTCTCTCTGTCTGGAGAGCGCACGCGCCCTATAGCAAAAACATCTCCAAAAGAAAAAAAAAAGGTTAGAGGGTGAGAGTGGCAAATATGAAGTTATGCTAATATGTGTCCTAATACTTGAAAAATCTAAAAATCAGTCTTTAATTAAAAATTTTTTGTAAACAACTAAACCTCTAGGAGATACATTTTGATCAAAGTCAAAATGTGCTGATCAAAATTAAAATGGCTGGGGCTGGCAAGAGGTACGATGGTCAAAGATGCTAGACGCCCAGTGGCTGTCTGTGGTTCAAGTCCCAGATCTGGCAGATTGCTTTCTCTCTTTCCTTCTGTCTCTCTCTGATCAAATTAAAATAATAAGAAGAATAAATAAGTCAAATAAAATAATTAAAAAAAAGACAAAACAAAACTAAAATAGCCAATAATATTCATTACAAAACTCTTTTCTGACTTTAATAAGACTATTTTATTCAAAGATGTTCAGTAAAATAAAAACATTTTCTCTGGTGTACAAAAATGCCTGAGAGATTAGGGCAGAATATTATTTCTCCAAACCTGCTGAAAGACTCAGCTCAGTTCAGCAGATTCTTTCTTAACTCTAGCTGAAAAAGTTGTGTGCCTAAAATACCCTGCTAGTCCAAACACCTTGACCTTTCATTTATTTTGTTAAAAGCACTAGATGGTGGGACCAGCCAATGGTGTGTGATTCCATCACTGAACTCCTACATGGCCGACCACGGTGCAGGTCCTGGAACCAGTGGCTTGTGCATATGTGTATGCATGCCCAAAACCCCAGGAGGAGAATGGAAGAGAAGGGATTGCAGCATGGCCACCCCCTCCGGAGGTTTCTCATTTTCCTTCTCAGTGTCTCTGTCTCTCTCACGAACACGTGTGCCCTAAGGCAAAAACCTCTTAAAAAAAGTGTTAGACAGTTAGCTAACTTAGAACATGGAGTTCAAGACTGGTGGTACTGAAATAGCCACTCATTTCAAGCAACTGTTTTAGATGCTGACTTAGAGTTTTCGATCTGCAACCAAAATAAGAAATGTTGAATCTAGGGTAATAAACAGTTACTGACTTTTTTTTTTTTTTGGAGAGATTTTTTTTCACTGTAGGGCACGTGCGCTCGCCAGACAGACAGAGGGAGAGACATAGAGACAGAAAGCGAGAAATCACCCACCAGGGGGGATGGTCACGCCGCAATCCCTTCTCCTCCATTCTCCTCTCGGGATCTTGGGCACGCACGCACACGCGCCCGGCGTGAGTTTTTTAAGCCACCGGGTCCGGGACACGAACCGCGGTTGACTACGTGGGAGTCCAGCGACATAGCCATTACACTAACTGCTGGTTCCCCTGACTTCTTTATTTTTTTAAGGTTTTTGCCAAAAGGCATGTGCAGTCACTAGAGAGAGCCAGAGGGAAAGTGAGAAATCACCCTCCAGAGGAGGTGGCCAAGATGCAAACCCTTCTCTATTCTCCTGGGATTTCGGGCATGCATGCACACATGCCTGGTGTAATTTTCAAGCCACTTGGTGCGGGACTCAAACTGTGGTGGGCCATGTGGGAGTCTAATGCCCTAACCACCACACCACCTGCTGGCCCCAAGGGCTAATGATTGAGAGGCAGTTTTAACACAGTCAGTAAACAGGTCCTCACAGCTAAAGCATATGAAACTTCCAGGAGTCTGGAAACAGTGTGGTACCCATGTGAACAAAATTCACCATGACCGGTACCCAATTCAAATATTTCTTAGCATTGGATATATCTCTGCCAACTCACTCTGTAAGTGTCAGAATAACCTCCCTTCATCTAACGGCATCCATTTTACCCTCTACCTTCTACCTTGTGGTGAAGGTGTATTTTTACTCCCCTGAAATGTATGGGTAAGTCCATATGGCTTAGTTTGGGTACAGCCTAGTTTTTTATCTAGAAAGATTAAAAAAAAAATGAATTTGTCAAAAAGGATGGAGTAGGTCAAATGATACTTAAATGAGACTGATTCAATATGTTGAGACTGTAGGAATAAGACACAACAGGACTTTCTGAATAAGTAGCTGTTAGAGGACCTAGAACTGTTCTCCAATTTGTTTTTCTAAAAAAGAGCTATTTTATTTAACTTTATTTATTTATTTTAATATGACCAGAGAGGGGCAGAGTAAGAGAGTGAGAGAGAGAGAGAGAGAAAGTGAGAAAGCAAGCCACTAGGTCTAGAACTTGAACCGTGGTTGGCCATATGGGAGTCCAGCACCCTTAACCACCACACCACCCGCTAGCCCCCCGTTGTCCAATTTCTAAGAAACATGCAGAAATAAAATCTCTCAAGAACACCTTCACAAAGGCAATTGTTTTATTCGTTTTCAGGTTAAAATGTAACATGCAATTTCTTTCAGGAAGCATAAACAGTATATGAAACAATCTATAAAACAAGAGTTTCACGGCACAGCCACAGTGGCAAAGGTGGTGGGAGTGCTACTGTGTGATGCTGAAGACTCAGGGGGAGGCTCTGGGTTCACCTTCAAGGTCTGTCTTGGCATGTTGGGCATGCCCATGAGCATTTCTGTTGTTACCCTAGTTGGCTTCAGGGCTAGGGGACGACTATGGCATCAAGACCCTATTGAGGGTGCCTGTCTACCTCTTTTTCCTCTATCTCTTACAAAAGCAAGTAAATGAGTAAACTTAAAAAGTTTTCCAATTCATATTCTAGTATCATTTTTTTACATATATTATATGTTTTTAAAATTTTTGCTATAGCGTACATGTGCTTACCAGAGACAGACAGAGAGAAAGTACCCTTGAGGGGTACCACAGTCCCTTTTCTGCCATTCTTCTCTTGGGATTTTGGGCATACACACATACATGCCTGATGTGTTGCCCAATGTGTTTCTCAAGCTTTTGGTCCAGGACTCTAACTGTGAGGTTGGTCAAGTGGGATCCAGCTGCCTTAACCACCACACCACCAGCTGGCTTGCTCTACATCTTTTTTTGAGAGGTTTTGCTATAGGGTGTGTGCGCTTGCCAGAAAGACAGAGAGAGAGACAGAGAGCTAGAAAGTGAGAAATCACCACTCAGGGGGAATGGCCATGCCATAATCCCTTCTCCTCCATTCTCCTCTTGGGATCTTAGAAATGCGCATGCACACACACACACACACACACACACACACACACACACACGGCGAGAGTTTAAGCCACCAGGTCTGTGACTCGGACTGCGGTCAACTACATGGGAGTCCAGTGACATAGCCATTATGCCAACTGCTGGTCCCATGTATTTCTCTCTCTCTCTCTTTCTTCCTTCCTTCCTTCATTCCTTCCTTTCTTTCTTTTTGGAAATTTTTGGTATGGGGTACATGCACTCATCAGACAGACAGAGACAGACAGAAAGCAAGAAATCACTCCCTGAAAGGACAGCCACGTCTCAATTCTTCTCCTCCATTCTGCTTTCGGGATTTTGGGCACACATGTACACACGCCTGGCATGTTTCAAGATGACGGGTCCAAGACTTGAACTGTAGTCGACCAAGACTTGAACTGTAGTCGACCATGCAGGAGTCCAGTGCCTTAACCACTATGCCACCTGCTGGCCCCATGCTCTACATATCTTAAATCATTTCTTACCTTTTTGGATATAGATGGCTTTACTTTCTTGAAAGCTTCTTCAAAGTGTTTATGATTAACCTTGAGTTCACCTGTGGAGGATAAATATATACATCTCATTACAGTGTGCTGTGATTTGTAACTGAGCTTTTCTTTAAAGACGGCCAAGCCTTCAAAGGGAACATAGAGGAGATTAGTGATGACAGGCCATTGGAACAGTGTTCAATCCAGGTTTATTATGTTCATTAGAGTTTAACCTAGTACCACTTGAAGAGACCTATCATTGCAGCCAGCAGGTGGCATGGTGAAGGGTGCTAGATTCCCACATGGCCAACCACAGTTTGAGTCTCAGACCTGATGGCTTGCTTTCTCCCTTTCCCTTCCCTTCCTCTCTGGTCAAATCAAATAAATAAATTAAATAAATAAATAAATAATTCTTTTTTTTTTTTTTTTTTTTTTTAGAGTTTTTTTTGGGCGCGTGAGCTCACCAGACAGAGAGAGACATAGAGACAGAAAGCAAGAAATCACCCTGGGGGGATGGTCACGCCGCTATCCCTTCTCCTCCATTCTCCTCTCGGGATCTTGGGCACACACGCACATGTGCCCAGCGTGAGTTTTAAGCCATCAGGTCCGGGACGCGAACCACGGTTGATTACGTGGGAGTCCAGCGACATAGCCATTACGCTAACTGCTGGTTTCCAATAAATAATTCTTTAAAAAAAAAAAAGACCTATCATTTATAAACAGATAACTCTTAGTAGGCCCTCTTTGCATTGCTTAACAGTGCTCTTCATAAAGAAGAAACAGAACTGTTCTCACATATTGGGTTATGGGAAAACTTGTGATACATTTTCGCATAGAAAAACAGAAAAAAAGCCTATGTCCTCTTCCTGGCTGACCTTGGTTGTGTCCATCTCTGGGACTTCGAAGCTGTTGACAGCAAAATATTTTCAGAAAATGCCAAAATTGGGCACCTTGCTCCTAACTTCAAAGCCACAGCTGTTATGCCCCATGGTCAGTTCAAAGATATCAGCCTAACCAACTACAAAGGAAAATATGTTTTGTTTTTCTTTTACCCTCATGGCTTCACTTTTGTTTGCCCCATGGAGATCACTGCTTTCAGTGATAGGGCAGAAGAATAAAAAGACTCAACTGCCAAATGATTGGTGCTTCTGTGGATTCTCACTTCTGTGAACACACCCAAGAAGCAAGGAGAACTAGGACCCATGAACATTCCCTTGGTATCAGATTCCAAGTGCACCATTGCTCAGGATTATGGGGTCCTAAAGGCTGATGAAGGCATTTCCTTCAGAGGCCTTTCTATTACTGATGATAAGGGCATCCTTCGGCAGACCACAAGTGACTTCCCTGTTGGCCACTCTATGGATGAGACTCTGAGACTAGCTGAGGCCTTCTGGTTCACCGACAACCATGGGGAGGTATGCCTAGCTGGCTGGAAGCCTGGCAGTGATACCATCAAGCTCAATGTCCAAAAGAGCAAATATTTCTCCAAGCAGAAGTGAGCACTGGACCACTGTAGTGCTGGGCTGCAGTGGGCAGCCATGAGAACAAGACCTCTTTTGTATTTTTTTCAGCCAAGATGTGTGGGCCACGATAGACCTTTCCAATGTGGGTTAGGGAGGCCAACCACACTTTATTTTCATTGGTGGGAATGGCCTGAGTTGTATTGTGGAGCAGGTCATGTGATGTGTATGACGTACCACAGTGGGATACCAGCCCATTGATCTTTTTGTAGTTTCTATTAAACTTGAACCTGGGGACCACAGTTCGCGTCCCGGACCCGGTGGCTTAAAACTCATGCCGGGCGCGTGTGCGTGCGTGCCCAAGATCCCGAGAGGAGAACGAGGAGAAGGGATTGCGGCATGGCCATCCTCCCTGGTGGGGGTGATTTCTTGCTTTCTGTCTCTCTGTCTCTCTCTGTCTGTGTGGCAAGCACATGCACCCTATAGCAAAAACCTCTCAAAAAAACAAAAAACAAACAAACAAAAAACACAAAAACTTGAACCTGAGGGAAAAAAAAAAACAAACCCAGGAAAAATACATTATGACTTTCCTGACAACCCAATAATTTAACTAAATTTAACTGGTGGTGAAAAGCTGAATCCCACAGTATTTAAGAGTATATAATGAGATGATAGAGTTATAACATTACTTATCTATATACACACTCACACCACAGACATATACATATAAAACACCATTAACACTAGATTAGAGTCAAAATGCTTTATAAGGTTATGCCCTTATATAAGTGAAATAAAATAGCTACATGTTAAATGCGGTTTGATTTGTTAATATGACAATTTACATGATGAAAATTTATACTTAATAGTAAAAATTTTACACAGATAGTATATTTACCTAAAAATAAAACAAAATGTACTGCTGAACATATCAAATGAAGTTAATAGCATTATTGCCTTAGATTTCAACGTATACCAATAATAATACCAATAATATACCAATTCAATAATATACCAATGCAAAATCCCTAAAGAACAGATAGAAGTGAAAGCTGTAGCGACTTAAGAACGTTAGAATTTGGCTCTTTCCGCCATCTAGGAGCCTGTGGAGGCCTGCTGGGAACAGGACTTCTAAAAGGCAAGTATGTCTGGAAGGCTGTGGTCCAAGGCCATTTTTGCTGTCTATAAGTGGGGTCTCAGGAACCAAAGGGAGCACACAGCTCTTCCTAAAATTGAAGGTGTTTATGCACGAGATGAAACAGAATTCTATTTAGGCAAGAGGTGTGCTTATGTGTACAAAGCAAAAAACAACACAGTGACTCCTGGTGGCAAACCAAATAAAACCAGAGTAATCTGGGGAAAGGTTACCCGAGCCCATGGAAACAGTGGCATGGTTCGAGTCAAATTCCGAAGCAATTTTCCTGCTAAGGCCATTGGACATAGAATCCGTGTGATGCTGTACCCCTCAAGGATTTAAAATAATGAAATGTAAATGAATAAAAATGGATTTGTGTTGTAAAAAAAAAAAGTTAGAATTTGTTACATATGTCTCTAGACAACATTCAAACAAATTATTGTTTTTTTTACATTAAAATTTTAGTATATCTAGTTTTCTATGTAATCTTATATATCCTTTAATGCATTTAAAAACACTATCTGAGGAGGTCATGCACAAAATATTCTATTGTGATTATTTTTAATAGCCAGAGGGTGTGTGTGCTTGCCAGATGGAGACAGAGGAAGAGAGGGAGGGAGAAAGTGCCCCTCAATGGGGCATGGTCACGCCACAATCTCTTCTCTTCCATTACTCTAGCCTGATGGGATTTGGAGCAAGCTACCAGGGGCCAGAATTTGAATTGTGGCTAACCACATGGAATCTGGCTCCTTTAACCAGGGCCTGCCCCAAACAAAATGATTAATAGCAGCACCAATAAATGTACAGGGGTGTTATTTATACTTAGTGACCAAACATATACCAAGATAATGGTCAGGTTTAGCTCTCAGAAAACAGGGACCAGCAGGAGGCATGGTGGTTAAGGTGCTGGATACTCCCACATGGCCGACCATGGTTCGAGTCCCGGATCTAGTGGCTTGCTTTCCGACTTTCCCTCTTCTGTCTTTCTCTCTGTCTCTCTCTGGTCAAATTAAATGAATTAATAAATACAATTGAACAGATAATTCTTTAAAAAAATACACATAATTTTTTGGACAAAATAGTCTATTTTTGCTTGTTTTTATCAAATATTTTGAAAAGTAATTTAATGTAGCTTATAAAGAAAGAACTTCATTCAGACAACCAAATCATAAAATGAAACAACCAACAACCCCAAGGACTTCACAATGAGGATATCTGTGTGGACAAATCTAAGCTAAACATAAACTACTATCACTATTGACAAAATTTGGCTCTAAGCCTGGTGGAGCAGCTGGTAGGGAATGGAACTGCAGTGCCAGAAGCCACATGGCTGACTGTGGGTTCTGATCCCAGATCAGTTTGAAAACACATGCCAGGGGTATGCATGTATGGGGGTATGCATGTGCGTCTAAGATCCTGATGACCTGGAGAGCTGGGCAAATGGGATTGCAGTGCGATGAGACCCTGTTGAGGGTGCATATTTTCTTTCTCTCTCCCGCTCATATGTGAGCATGTACTGTCTATCACAAATAAATAAAGAAAAATCGGCTCTCTCCGTTATTTAGTAGCCAAAGAAAATTTTAAAAGGGGGGAAAAATTCAATACAGAAAAAGACTTTTTGTGGAAATCTACTGAAGAAAGATCAATACAGAGTTGAACTTCAGAAGAAACTGTAGGTTAGAGGACACTGTTTTCTTTAAGGACAGGTATTTGACAGTACTGCAAAGATACCCACAAACAGCAACTGTTCAAATCACTGTCACAGGAACCACGCAAAGAAAAAGCTATTTCTGTACTTGGTATGGTTGGAATGCAAGTCACAAATGAATCTTTTTTGGTGTATACACCCAAGAGTCAAGTCAAAGACACTGTTGAATGTGAAGGCCGGTACGAAGCTGCTGAAAGGGCCCCAAATGGTCTCATAATAAAATATATGGATTTTGTATTCTGGGGAAAAAAAATAGTCTCAATATATGGACAGTTAGTCCGATTTTTATGTTTGTGTGTTTTATACTCTTATTTGTTGTTCTTTACTTGGTTCCCATTACAGTTATTTATTTATTTTTACTTCAAGAAGGAGAAAGGGGGGACCAGCAGTTAGCGTAATGGCTATGTCGCTGGACTCCCATGTAGTCAACTGCGGTTCACGTCCTGGATCCGGTGGCTTAAAATTCACGCCGGGAGCATGTGCATGCGTGCCCAAGATCTCGAGAGGAGAATGGAGGAGAAGGGATTGCGGCGTGGCCATCCCTCCTGGGGGGTGATTTCTCGCTTTCTGTCTCTCTGTTTCTCTGTCTGAGCGCATGCGCCCTATAGCAAAAACCTCTCCAGAAAAAAAAAAAAATGGAGAAAGGGGACCAACCAGGGGGGGGGGAAGTT